AGTGTAATCAGTGAGGGGATTCTGCAGACTGTTGAGGGTTCAGCCTCCTGATGAGTCGGTGAAACTCCGACGAAACAGTTTGTCACAGCCCCTCGTTTGTTGTCCTCTTCTCTCTCTCTGCCTACGGTTTGCCGGGCAGTTCTGTTTGTGACGATATATATATATATATATATATTAGGAGAGAAAAGAAAGAACCTCACAGGAAAAAGCAAAAGAACGATCTCAGTGTGCTTCATGTTGTTAGCTATTTTCTTCATTTGTTTAGCATAATCCGCTCTTTTACGTGGATAACTTGATAGTAGTTGATACAGTATTGTATATGTTACAGTATAAATACACTGCAGTTTCCACTGCTGCAGTTCCTACTGCAGTCTTCAGTACAGCAGTTTCTATAGCTGGAATTCCCCATACTATACTTTTTGCTGCTACAACTTTCTCTGCCGCAGCTCCAGCACAAAGAACATCACAGTCCCTCTGACACTCACGTCGTTTGTTTCAAAATCTTGCCCAATCCACCCTCTTTCATCTCTTTCTGTGCTTGGCCGCAGACGGTTGTGTTCCTCCTCACCAACCCCATCTCCTCCACGGTCTCGCTTGCGAACAGACTCTCCGGTTCCCATTGCCCCAATTGTTCCACTTTCGTTGCCAGGGACATGTTCATCGTCTTCTGTTTGCAACAACATTATTACTCCTCTTATTGTGTATCGTCGACGACATGTGCAGCATCATCACTTGTCAAGGGATCAGCAGCCTGTTTCTTTGTCTGCCCCAATTCTCTTTGTGCCTGCCCCACAGGTTGCTGCAGTTCCCTTGTTCCAAATGGCAAAATCCACTCATATGCCTTCTGTAGACGGTCCAACTACTTGTAGGAAGCCACAACACCATGTTTTATGCCCTTCAGCATTAGATATTCATGACTCACCTGTACAACACATACTTGCAAGTGGACGGACCGGACGAGCGTCCGGTCCGTCCGCTTTGCCGCGTGCGGCACCCTCCCCTCGGACCGAATGGACCCGGACCGTACCGGTGTCGGGCGGCCACAGGCAGTGGGCCACCCTACGTCAGCGGTGTTGAGTCTTCGACCCGATGACTAGACCGTATTTTGACGGTACTCTTGTTTGACCTGACGGGGAAAATCAGGGGTACCCAGAGCACCCCCAATTTTGGGTGTGCTGACCACTGAGAGTAACCCTCAAATTAACGAGGGGAGTTACCACTTCTACCACACTGTGCCCCACCTCTTTTTCGCTTGTTCCGAGT